CTTTGGCGTGCCTGCTGCCTTAGAAGACAGATCTGCAGGACCCCCAGAGAAGAGAAAATATCCTTCAGTAAAGGTCTCTAAGGAAGCTTCCCAGATTCAACTTCTCTTAGAGCTTGGTAAGTCACTATCACAATGCCCCAAGGCTGGCTGGTCCTGGGCTGGACTGCGGTAGGTAACAGGGTATTGGGCAGAAGGAAGGAAAGGCTGTTATGTGGAGAAAAGACTCAGCTACCATTTACTCCTGTAACTTAAATTTTCACCATTGCTCTCCACCTCTGTCCCACATACAATAATCTCCAGAGGTGACAGAATTTGAAAGAAATCAGCAATCACATTATGATAAAATGTGGAAATAGCTCCATAAAATAATTCTAATTTTTAAATGAACTAAAAAGACACCGGTTACAGAGCATATCTGTTTGGCACAGGCAGGAAAATTCTAGCTGCTAACTTTTCTGGAGTCATGTGACAGTTTATCTGTACATATTTCTCTTCCTTTGAATAAGAGATGGGTCAAGAAGTAGAAAAGGTTGAGGTCAATGTCTAAGGCATACAGGGTGGATGGGGAACTTGAGAATGAAGCATATGGGATGTAGTTTTGTCTCCTCTCAAGGAACAAGGATAGATACTCAATTTCAGAACTACTGTTACAGCCTGAACAGCAGCATGTACTACACTTAACTGAAGGTGTATTATTTTGACTTAAGGTCAAAGAGGGCCTATAGCATTCAGATTAATCTCATTATGTAACCCAGCCTGGCTGGAACTTGTGAGCCTTGTCTCAGTCTCCCAAGTGCACGAATCACAGGTGTGTGGCATTACACATGGCTCAGATTTTTGTTTCTAATACCACATTTTTTTTTTTGGTACTGGGAATCAAACTCATGATCTTATGTGTGCTAGGCAGGCACTGTGCCACTGAGCTATATTCCTGGCCTCTAATACCATTTTTTATTAATAGGAACCTAGTTTCCTCAGAAGACTGGCCATGTCTCAGGAGCTACTGCTTTTTCCATTACTTTGCTCCAATAAATTTTCCTATTCTTAGGCCAGGCATGGTGGCTGACTCCTGTAATTCTAGCACTTGGGAGGCTGAAGCAGGAGGATCTTTGCGAGTTTGAGGCCAGCCTGGGCTACAAAGTGAGCTCAAGGCCAGCTTGAACTGCATAGAGACCCTGTCTCAAAAAAGAAGAAGAAAAAAAAAAATTCCTACTTTAAAAAAAAAAGGCTGATCCAAAGGACACATCAGGACACATACAAGCTAAGATTAAAAGTATTAGGAGTGAGGTTGGGAACACACCTATCATCCAAGCATGTGGGAGGATGAGGCAGACAGGAAGATCTTGGGGAGTTAATGCCAGCCTGGGGTACACAGTGAGTTCAAGGCTGGCATGAACTACACAGCAAGACCCTGTCTCAAAAAAGCCAAGAGAAAAACTTTTTTTATTTTTATTTTTTAAGGCAGAGTGGCACTGTGTAGTATAATCTGGCCTAGAAGTTGCTTATTTAGCTTAGACTGGCCTCCTGACTTGCAGAAATCCTCCTATCTCAGCATCTCAGAGTGCTGCAATTACAGGTGTGTCACCATGCCTGGCGAGATATCTGTATTCTCAAAATGTATTATATATTGAATGAGACATAGTAACTTGCACCTATAATCTGAGCATTCTGGGAAATGGGGGCAAATGGATTGCAATTTGGAGCTCAACCAGGCAATTTAGAGACTTAGTGAGACTCTATCTCAAAATTAAAAACAAGCCGGGTGTGGTAGCTCACACTTGTAATCCTAGCACTCGGGAGGCTGAGGCAGGAGGATCCTTGCAAGTTCCGAGACCAGCCTGGGCTACAAAGTGAGCTCAAGGCCAGCCTGAACTGCAGAGACACCCTGTCTCAAAAAGACAAAAAACAAACAAACAAACAAAAAACCCCAACAAAATTAAAAACAAAAAAACAAAGGCTTGGAGAAATAGCTCAGTGTGATGGTCCTAGGTTCCATCCTCAGTATTGCCAAAAAGTAAAAGACACTCTGAAGTATTTAAAGATAAAGGGCCAGCTCAGTGGCCTATGCACCTGCCTGGCAAGCACAAGGTTGTGACTTTGATACCAGTACTAAATAAATAAAACAATATTAAAAAAAATAAAGGTAAAGGGCCATGATATATGCAACCTACTCTTAAATGGTTCAAGGAATAAAACTAAAAGAATTCAGTATATGCGTATAAAGAGGTCATATGAACACAAATGATGAAACAAAAGTAAACATTAAAATACTAACAATATGGGTAAAGAAAATATGAATTTTCTTTACACTACTTTTAATCTTACAACTTTTGTGAATTTGAAATTATTTCCAAGGAAGAACCTTACGAAAAGAAAGAAAAAACTAGATTCCAGTCTCTACATTCCTTTTTCTATCAGCACCAGCAAAATGAGAAAGCTGTGTACTCCAACCCACCTGCAATATGTTGGGTTATCTGTTCCTTTTCGCTGTCTTCCAGTTCTTCCCAGCCTTCCAGCTCTGTAAGGTCTTCAATTTTTTTTGTGGTGGCCCGAGCTCGCTCTAGTTTCTCAAACATACATTTAATATGGTACCACTCTTTCATGTCACCCCCAGATTCTGAGAAGGGGTTGGGTACGACTTTGCCAATTCGGCATACACCCTTCACAATCTTCTCCTTGCATTTTTTGCAGCCAGCTGTACCACGCTTAGCATAGTCCACACAGAACCGTTGCTCAGCCATCTCACATGGGCCTCTGCACAGTCCCACATGCGACCCTGGCAAGAAAACGAAGCAGATGGCTTGTGGTCTTAGATGGCCTCCCTGGAATAATAGAGCAGGCTTCCTTCTCTGGAGGAGGCAGTGCCCATGAAGCAGATCTGACCAATTGCTAAACTGTCTTACGTCAGACCAATGATACTGTTCTCGAAATGGGCACAGTTCTTTTTGTCCAAGGGCTTGGAAGATTCGTGACAGGAGGTTCTTGAAAGCCAAAGTCATATAGCTGCATGAAAAGTAAGAGACAAAAAAAAAAGTGAGAGGAGAGATTCTCAAAGATCAGAATCTCATACAGTCTTATGCTGACTAATCAAATATTTCCAGATGCATTAAACATTCATTGCCTAGATTAATTTCAAAACAGAAAAGTCCAGTTTCCAAAAGGGTGTTCAATTATCTAATGTACACAAATATATCTAGTAAATTAAAATGAAGAGAATCCAAATACCATAAAAGCTTTTCAGGCCATAAACAATTCGTGAGACTCATAATGGATGACGACCTTTAAGTATTAGAAGATCTTAAAGTTTCTTTTTAATCACGAAGCAAAATTATGTTGATGAAGTTTTCATAACAACACAAATTACATATACCATCCTCAGAAAACAAGCCACAATACAGATATGTGATTTAAATGAAAGTTTTCCTTTGAGAGGCAGTTATGCAGAGCCTAGAACCAGACTGACCAGATTCAAATGCTAGCTTGGCCACTTATTAGCTGGGTGACCTCGGTAGGTAAACCTTCTTGTTCCTCAGTTTCCTGATCTGTAAAATGTAGCTAAGGATAGTATTTAACTAAGGGGCTAAGAAAGTAAAGCTCTTGAAAACAGACTTGGGAATACATACAAGGGCTCAATCAACATTAGATCTTATTATCATCAGTGAAGTAGTTAAGTTTTAAGCAGAGGCTCTTCAAGTACAATTAGCCGGTTGAATTCAGTTGGGAATGCTATGTAACTACAGTGAAAAATCAAAGGACTTGATAAATCATTTCAAATGGAATGATTATACCCACAACTTATATTCCTACTTTTAAAGTAACTTTATAGTTCGAATATTAAATATATTGGAAGTTATTTTCGGTCTGCACATTGCTGTAAAGCGAAATTGCTATTGCCACTTAATAAAAAGCGGGCTTTACTGACTGCAGTGCCATATGGTGCAGGGCAAAGCTAGACTATGCCAACAGAGATGGGAAGCCAAGCCTGACCATCTACCTTAAGGTTACCGCCTCAGAGAATCTCTCAACTTCCCCTGACACTCAGTTACTGCCGTAACACAGGAAATAAGACCTACCTTAAGGGGCGGCTGGGAAAATTACAAGGAATCCATAGTCTGGCTGGTGGAGACAGGGCTCTGAACTGCCTGTAAATGTATACAAAATATGTTCGTTTGAAAATGTACGTTTTGGGGGAAAGAAGATCTGTAACTTTCGTGAGATTCACAAAGAGCAACATAACCCAGAGTTCAAGCAGCACGCGGGTTAAGGATGGCTGCGCGCGGGACCAGCTGGGCTTTCACCGCTGTCCTTAGAAGGTTGCCTTAGAGAGCAGCTTGTCTAGAGCCCGCAGGACCCAGGAGAATAATGTAAGCAGCAGACGCGCGGAGACTCCCTGGGCGCCGGGCCACGCGGCGGCACAATGTGGCTGTGCGCGACCCATCAGTCCCCACCGCCGAGCAGACGCAGAGCAGAGCGCCGAGAAGCCTGGTCGCTTTTCCCGGGGGGCGTACAGGACCCGGACCGCGGCGGAGGGGCGTGGGCCGGAGGGGCTGCGGCGCAGGACAGGGGGCGGCGGGACTCGAGAGCTCGCCAACACCGCCAAAGTGCAGCCGCTTCCCAGCGTGATACCGGGTCGCGGGAAGCCACGGGGGTCCTCAGGAGCCGCGGGGCTCCCGTGGGACGGCCACGTCACGGAGGGTGTGCCCCCGGGCTCTGCGGGCGGGCGGGGGAGGAGCCGGGGTCTGCTCCTGGCCACACCGCGGCGTGTACCAAGCTGCTTCCCTCCGCACGCTGTGCCCCACCACGCCGGCCCGCACTTACCTCCGGGGCTCGGAGGCCTCAAGACCAGGTGCCCACAGGCCGCAGGCAGCCCACAGCGGTTGGAGCGCCTGTCTCTTTAAATACGGGTCCTTGAACTGGCGGCAGTGCGCAGGCGCAACAGCAGAGGGCAGGGCGGTACGACACGCCCCCCCTCCTCACCGGCAGTTTGGGACCAGGTCTGGTTCTGCTATCCGGTTTTGGGGTTGGTGCGTCGAAGTGCGCCCAGCAGCCTGAACTTCCGGGGAAATCCCCTTCCCTTTCTCTTAATTGTTAGATTATCTAGTCCTTAAAGGTGCTGCTTAAGAAACTACTGTGATGAGCTTGGGGAACGCACAGATCGCACCGTGCGACCTGTGCTAAGTCCCTCTGACGTGTCCTGCCCAGCGCCTGACGCGTAGCAGTGTCCAGTGAGTTACTGACTGAAAAAGGCAGGAACTAGATAGCAGGAAGATGGGTACAAAGTGCGAAGGACAACTGTGGAGAATTAACGCCTTATTTATGTTGCTTGAAGTGTAATCTCTCTTCTAAACCTCAAGTCCTGTTCATGAGAGTTGGGGTCTATTGTTTTGTACTAGTACCAGGCTCAAGGAGGAAAGTGTATTTAGAGTCTGGGGAGAGCAAACGATGGAGTCTTGTTAGGTAAGCAAAGAACGGGTCCAGAGGAAATTCTGGACAGTTTGCTGAAGATTCTGGCCTTTATTCTGTGCGAGCCGGCGTGCCGTGCAGGGTCCTAGGTGATTTCTATTGAAGCTGGTCAGGGGTAACAGGCAAGGCTTTTGTAGTGTGACCCAAATGAGAGATGCAGGTGGCCTTAACAAATTAAGTTAGGATGGAGGTGGAGAAAAGAGTGCATGTTTGAAAATCGTTTCGTTTACCAGTTGAAATAGGATGACTTGAGAAAGCAGGTAGACAATAAGGCTATCAGTTGAACTACAAATGAGAGGGGAGTCAGATGTGGTGGTGCCACTCAGGAGGCTGAGACAGGTGAATCGCTGAGAGTTTTGAGGTCAGTGTGGAATACACAGTGAGTTCCAGGACAGATTGAATTACCTAGGAGACCCTAGCTAAAAAGAAAAGAAAAAAAAAAAAAAATGAGAGAGAGGAGGAGATATTGGGGTAAAAGGATGAATTTTGTTTTGGATGCATTGGTTGAGGCCAGCCATGATTCCACTGTTTGAAGTGGATAAAGCCTTTTTATCTTTAATGTACTGCCGAATGAACATTGGCTTTGAAATCGGAACGTCTTGAGAGGCAAGACTTCTACGATTGCTTCAGAAAATGCCTAGAATGATGGGATAAGTGTCCTAGAGGCAAGAGGGAGTATTTTGTGGGAGGTTAATGGCAGCGTGCCTTTTACTGTAACTTTTAAAAGTTTAGAGGCTGAAGATTTAGCTCAGCGGCATAAGCCTGTTCCTTGCAAGGAGTTTGATCCCCTGTACCCCCCCCAAAAGAAAAACTTTAAACATTTACTGTATACTTTGTGATCATAACTGTTATTTTTTTTTACACACTTTTTTTTTTCTTTTTATCGGTACCGGGGATCGAACTCACGACCATCTGCTTGCAAAGCAGGTGCTTATGCCACTGAGCTAAATCCCCAGCCGCTCATAACTGTTATTTCTATTGGTGGCACTGCCCCTAGATTTAAAACCTATTTGTGAAGGGTGGCATCTGTGCTTTATAAGGCCTTTTTCTTTTCTTTTCTGTTTGGTACTGGAGGATTGAACCCAGGATCTTATTAAATTGTATCCCCAGCCGTTTTTTAGCTTTTATTTTGACTGACTTCTCACTAAATAACTGTTCAGGCTGAGCTCAAACTTAAGATCCTCCAGCCCCAGCCACTCAGAATGGCTCTTATGTGCCTTTTTATCTTTGGTACCCAAAACAGTACTGGGCGCATAGTACACAGTCATATATTTCAAATATATTTCAGCATATGTTTCTGTGGTGCCCGTCTGAATAAGCAAATGAAGCCCATGAGTGATTGAAATGAATAAATGAAACTCTGAATGTGGTAAGATCCCCTAGAAGGTTGTTTTTTATATTGTGCCTTTAACAGTATTTGATGTAAATTTGCAAAAAGATTCAGGCTCTGGTGATTGTTTTGCTTGATTAGAGCTCCCTGGCACCCTAGTGATCTCTGATCCCGGTCCCCTGCTGTGAAATGGAAGTAGGTGTGAAAGATGGCATTTGCTGTTTCTTTAGAAAGATGGGAACTGCTTTTCCAAGGAAAGAGAGTGATGTAAGTGATGAGAAAGCAGGCTTTGTGATAACACAGATGCCTGAGTTATGTTCTGCCACTACATGGGTAAGCTTCGTTTCTTTTTCTCCTTACACCTGTTTTCATGATGAAGTGAGATGGTTTTGCAATTTGCATTTAGTTCTATGACTGATCCATTTTGAGTTCACTGTTGTGAAGGATGAACATTATTATCTAGATTGAATTTTATTTTACATGTGTGTGTCCAAGTTCCTCAAACACTGGTTCTTTTCCACATATGTGTTTCTGTGTGTGTTTCTCAGGTGTCAAACTGAAGGCCTAATACATGTTAAGTAAACGCCCTCCCAGTGAGTTGTATCTCTAGCCTATAGCGTCAATTCTTGAAAGCCTGTCCTTTGTTCATGTTTTGCTTTTGCTCTTTTGTCAAAAAATTATGGGTTTTTTTTTGACTGCCAGGTATGCTGGTGCATGCCTTTAATCCTAGCTGCTTAGGAGGCTGAAGAAGGAGGATTGCAGGTTTGAGGCCAGTCTGGACAATTTACAAGACCTGTCTCAACATATAAAAAAATGTAAAAGGGTGGGGGTATAACTCAGTGCTCCTTGGGTTCACTACTCAGTACTGAAAAAAATCGTTTGGCTGTGTTTATGTGGGTCAGTTTCTGGGCTCTGCATTCTTTCCCATTAAGCTGTTTGTCCTTTTACCAATACCACAGTCTTAATTACTGTAACCTTGTAGTAAATGTTGACATCAGGCAGTGTTTCTCCTCCAACTTTTTTCTTCTGTGTTATCTGTTGTGTTCTTTGCTCAAATTCGGAGTCATTTTCTAAAGCTAGTATCAGGCCAGGAATTTAGCTCAGTGGCATAAGCACCTGCCTGGCAAGTGCAAGGTAGTGAGTTGGATCCCTGGTACCAAAAAAATACCAACTAAAGCTAATATCCACAAAGTAACTTGCTAAGATTTTTCTCCCCCTATGGTACTGGTGGTACTGGTGATCAAACCCAGAGGCCCTTTACCTCTGAACTACATCCCAAGCCTTATTTTATTTTATTTTTTTTGGTACTGGGGATCGAACTCATGACCTTGTGTTTGCCAAGCAGGCACTTATGCCGCAGAGCTAAACCCCCTGACCCTACCAAGCCCCATTTAAAAAAAATTTTTTTTTAAATTTTGAGACAAGGTCTTGCTGAGTTGCTTAGTGAATCTGAACCTGTTAGCCTCCTGCCACGGCCTCCAAGGTGCTGGGTTTACAAGCGTCCACCTGTACTCCTGGCTACTTGCTGGGATTTTGACTAGAATTACACTGAATCTGAAGATAAAATTGGGAAGAATGAACATCTTGACATTTTTTAGTTCTTCCCTATAAGCATAGAGTATCTCTCCATTTATTTCATTTTTTTGATTTCTTTCATCAGAGTTTTGTAGCTCTTTTTCATCATAGGTCTTCTACATATTTTGTTAGCTTTACAACTAAATGTTTCATATTTGGGGGAGTAGCCAAATAATGATAAGCCTTTGAAGACTGTGTCTGTCAGTGTAATGAGATGACTGATGTTAACTTACGAACTGTTTGGCATTTAGAAATATTTCAGTAAATGTACACTGTCTTCTCTCTCCAAGTCTGTGTATATGCTATTGCAGTTTAATCACTCTATTGTTTAGTTTCTGTAGTATGTACTGGGTGCCTACTGTGTCAAGCACTATTCCAGAACTTAGAATAGAGCAAAAGAATCTCTACTTTCCTGCAGCTAACAGACTAGTATAGAAGATAGAAAACAAGCAAGCAAGAAAGATGTACAGATGTAAGATGTGGATGGGTGATATGGAGAAAAAGGAAAGGGGACAGGATTGGAGGTGTGGCTTTCAGAGGAGGGTTACAGTTTTTTATTATTTTTAGTTTTAAATTTTTCTTTATTTACTTTTGGTACCACGCCTTTGCCCTGAGCTACATCCCCAACCTTTTCTCTTTTTTTTTAGTTTTTATTTTGCACCAGGGTCTTACTAAATCACCAAATTGCCTATGCTGGGCTCAAACTTTCTGTCCTCGAACTTCAGCCTCCTGGATTTCTGGGATTATAGGTGTGCATCGCCACCCTGGCTGGGTGCAAGTTTTAAGTGCAAGTTAGGAATTCCTTGACAGCAGCTGACAACCGAGGTTAGACCAAGGAATAAAAGAGTTACGTGCAGATCTAAGGTAGAGGAAACATCAAAGGCCCAGGGTGGAGAATGTGTCTGACACATTGGGAGAATGGCAAGAAGATCTGTGGCTAGAATGGCCCAAGTTAAGATCGAGAGCAGCAAAATAGGAGGTCAGTAAGGTGGCAGGCGCTGTAGGGCCTCGTAAGCCATTATAAAGACTTTGGCTTTTATTCCAGGTGAAATGGGAAGCTAATGGATTATACTGTGCAGCGAGGTGACACGAGCTTACCAGGTTTTAACGGGATCGCTGTCACTCTGGCTGCTGTGTAGAGAAACCAGGAGACCAGGGAAGTGACGAATTACCCAGGAAAGAAATGTGCAGCCTCAGTGGTGGTAGTGAACGTAGTGAGAAATAACAGACTTGTGGACCTCTGGGGATTTATAGATGGGCTCAAGTGTGAACCCCTTTGAAGTTTGATGTATGTCTGTGTGTCTGTGTGTGCACATTCACATGCGCACATTTTTGGATGGGAGAACCTTTATCAGCTTCTCAAAGCAGTTCCATAAGCTAAATCAAAGAAAACCTTGGAGCTGGGTGTGGTGGTGCATGCCTGTAATCTTGACTACTCAGGAGGCTTGCAGGGAGGGTGTAGACTGGGAAACTCCGTGAGACCCTAAGGTCCTGGGTTCAAGCCCCAGTTCTGGGGGGAGGGGGGAATCAGAAGTACCTTTGTGGTGAATAATAGGGGTACCCCATGATGCCTGTTCCTCACTGTTAAAAAGTACATAGTTAACTCTGTTTCTCAAACCCTAATCATGAATTTTCTGGGGCTTTGACCTTGTGAGTGCCTTGGAGCTAACACCACTCCCTCTAAGACCGCTGTCCCTGACTTCCATTTGAGACTCATGAGGATTAAAATGAACAAAAGCAGCACAGGGAGATAAGTAGATTCTGTTTCTTTTCTGTGTAATGTATAAATTTGGAAGCCTCAAGCAGGAATAGGGAAAAGGCTTTGTTTCTTCTGAGAAAGGACCGGCACTCGAGAGGTTAGTTTACGGCTTATTTTTTAAAATAAGCTCCACTCTATAACTTACAAAAAGATCAGCAGTGAGAACTGATTTTATGGTTTGGTTTGCTTAATAGTTGCACAGTTAAAATAGACTGTAAAAAAAGATGGTAGTGGAAGCTGGGCGTGGTGGTTCACGCCTGTAATCGCAGCACTCAGGAGGCTGAGGCAGGAGGATCCTGGAGAGTTTGAGACCAGCCTAGGCTACAAAGT